GCACTGAGATGCTTACAACGTCACTGGATCCAAAGACTTTCTACCCACTGGCCTGTGATCATCTGAAGAGGACTTTATAGATTAGTATCAGACATATGGGCTAATTTCAGACTTATGGACTTATGGATTGAGTTGGGATGCTTCCTTAATGTACAATTACCCTTTACATAAAACTCTCTCTTATACATATATGAGTCTCCCTGGATTTGTTTCTTCAGTCTACCCAGACGGACACAACTGCTAACCATCAAGTTGGCAGGTGAATTCCAACAGCCACTCTGCAGGAGGAAGGGGAGGTTGTCTGCTCCTGGAGAGATTTACAGCCTCTGAAACCCGGTCCATGGTCCACGAGTCTGGACTGACTCAGTAGCCCTAGGTTTTCTGGTCCTCAGTTTCTTCATCTTTAAAGTGAAGAGAAGTGTGCTAATTGACCAGGAAGGCATCTTCCAGTTCCACTGCTGGATGGCTTTCTGAATTTGAAATTACATTCCACAGACAGAAAATCCATTGCAATCAGGGCTGACATACAAATGTTAAAACAGAACAAAATAAAGTCAGGTGGATTGTTGTTGTTCTGTTAATGACGGGTACAGGTGCAGGTGTCGGTAAACACTGCTTAGTTTCTGACTTACAAATAGACTCACCCAGATAAAAAGATAAATCGTGCAAGCTGTGTTTGATGCCTTTCTTAGCAATCTGGGGCTGATTTTGCCTTGCATCCCTTAAACGGTTTATATACCTTCCCCCATTCATTAGAGGAGGGTAGAAGGTACAAGGTGCTACCGCCACCAAGACTCATGAAACAAAACCATGGCCCTCACGTAGCAGGGGCTTAATTACTTCCAGAAGCTTAAAATACATTTTAACTAAATTATCTAGAATTTTGAAAAGACACCTCACCTCTCTTTTTATCTTGCAGTTCTTTGAGAAGCTTTTCTTTCACGAGTCTAATAGCAAGTGCCGTGGCTTCAGCTATAGTATTCGCAATTAAAGTTTCAAGGGCTTGATCAAAGCGTGGTTGAACAAGTTTGACATAGTCAACCACCTGAAAAGATCACATAAGGAAATCAACATAAATGCAAATTATGGTGAATCTTGAATACATTGTCCACGCATATGCTTGTGCGCATGCACACACACACACACACACACAAACATAAGGGGCTGAAAAAAGGGTGTGGAGCATGCCATTATCTTTTCATAAGCTTTATGAACCCCTCCTCATAGATTTTAACACTAGTTGCATAGCTTCAAGTATTATGGTGTATATCCATATGTATTATATTCATGCTATATTTATGTTTATAAACAGCATAAAATGGCAACTATACACATGGACTTCATCAGATAAAATACCCAGGAATCAAAGATTACATATGAGACAAAAGAGCAGTTCAATATCATCAGTCAAAACACGGTCAAGTATAGATTGAGGGACAGACATACGCAAGTTCAGTTTGAAGCAGAAACATATTAAAACAGGTACCCAGGAGCCAAAGCATAAGTTGGAGCACATCCCACCTGAATTTAGAGACCATCTCAAGAACAGCTTTGATAAATTGAACACTAAGTGATTGGAGACCAGATGAGCTGTGGGATGGCATCCAGAACAACATACAGGAAGAAAGCAAAAGGTCATTGAAAAGACCGAAACGGATGTCAGGGGAGACTCTGAAACTTGCTCTTGAATGCAGAGAAGGTCAAGTGACTGTAAGCAAAGATGAAATGAAAGGGCTGAACCAAAAGCGGCCAGGGGCAGCTCCAGAACACAAAGCTGAGTATTAAAATGACACGTGTAAAACTCTGGGGTTAGAAATCCAAGAGGGTGGAACGTGTTCATTTTTCTTTCTTTCTTTAATAAATCATTTTATTTGGGGGCTCTGATAACAGCTCTTATAACATCAATGTTCAGCATTTTTCAAGCTGAAAGAACTACAGAAGAAAAAAAATCAAGCCTCGAGTTTCAGTATTGAGGGATACTGTAGGCAGAAAATTGATCACAAAGATGGAAGCGGTGGGGAGCAGCAGGGAGGGCACCAAGGTCAATGGTCATAACATGGTCAACACAGACAATGTTCCACATCCTAATTAAGTGAGTAGTGACTGGGGTCTTAAAAGTTCATGAGTGGCCATCAAAGGTGTAACTATTGGCCTCTTCTCAAACTAGAAGATGCATAGAAACAATGAGTCCAATGGACCACTCCAACACCAAGCCTCCATGACCCTCTGACCAGAAGAACCAGATGGTTCCCAACTCCCATCACCGACTGCTCTGAAAATGATCACATTTGGGTGTCCTGTGTAGAGTGGGAGAAACATGTAGAACAAAAGGAAAGATTATTTTGAAAGCTCAGGGTTACTAATTGGATCAAGACTGGTGAAACAACGTTCCCCCCCTCCCCGCAAGACCATGGCCCTTAGTTACTTTTCAGATTTGGAACTGAGTTCAACCACGGATCATTTTTTCAGCTAAGTAATAGACAGATCTACAAGGAAGAACAATAATAATAATGAAGTCTGCACATCTTAGAGTAATCAAACCATTGAGATCCACAGGGCAGTATTGCCCCAAGGAAGAAGCTCCAGAGGATTAGGAAAGTGGAAACACAGGGAAGAAGCCGGATAACTGATGTTCCATTGTGAGGATTGAAATCAATGAGATGGGAACAGGGTGCATGAATTGTTGGATGGAAAATTTATCTACTCTGTAAACCTTCACCCAATTCACACATACAAAGGAGGAGGAGGATGAAAATGAGGAAAAGGAGGAGGAGAAAGTCGGGAATATAGAGTCACTGTATCCCAAATAGTTGGTTGACTCAACTATTTCAAGTGGTACTCTATGATCAAGAACTGGTGGTATGGAAGAAGCACTGCTGACCTACACTGAGGGGGTGGTGAAAGACAAAGGCCCGGGAATGAAAGAATACCAGTGGAGACATGTCAACAAACAAATGTAGCTTTAAACACTCACTTGTATATGCCAAGAACTTTGGAAGGCAGCTATCTAGCTAAGTGACTGGAAGAGATTCATATTTGTCTCCTTTCCCAAGGAAGATGACTCCACAGAATGAGAAATTATTAAATAATATCACATAAAAATACAATTCTGCTGAGGAGAATAAAAAGAAACCAAAGAATTCAACAAAATAGAACATTTCCAAAGTTCTAAAAAACTTCCTCATGCTCCTTTGTAGTCAGTTTTCTCCTCCTCTTAAGTCCTGGCTCATGCTGTATGTCTTATAGATCAGCGTTGCTTTTTATAAAATTTTATATAAATGGAACCAGTAGTTCTCAACCTTCCTAATGCCACGACCTTTAATACAGTTCCTCATGTTGTGCTGACACCCCCACCCATAAAATTACTGTCATTACTACTTCATAACTGTAATTTTGCTACTGTTATGAATTGGGCCACCCCAGTGAAAGGGTCATTTGACCTCCATAGGGTCGTCGCGACCCACAGGTTGATAACTGCTGCATGGAACTATACAATATGCAATCTTCCCCAGGATTTTTCTCTTAAGGGAAATATAGTATTTTAAGATTCATGATGATTATTGTATGAAACCATATTTATTGTATGTATCAGTAATGTGTTAATCCTTTTCACTGTTGACTAGTATTCCATTTTATGAGCATACCACAGATTTTTATCCATTTATTAATTTTTATAATTTATTAATGCATGTTTGGGGTTGTCTCCAGCTTTTATTAATATAGCAGTAGCAAACATTTGTGTACAAATCTTTGTGGACATAAGTGTTCATTTCTCTTGGGTAAATACGTAGGAGGTACTGAATCCTATGGTCAGTGTAGGAGCTCTGTTGGCATAGTGGTTATGCATTGGACTGCCAGTTACAAGGTCAGTAGTTCACAACCATAGAACTACTTTCTATGGAAGAAAGACCAGCCTGCCGATTGCTGTAAAGAGTCTCAGCAGTCTATCCCAGCCTAGAGGGTCACTGCTAGTCGCATAATTTGGCAGCAGTGAGTTTGGGTTCTTTTAGGTTTTTGGTGAGTATACATTTGACTTTAAAAAAAAAAGGTCTAACTATTGTCCAAAGGGGTTGTTCTATTTGAAGTCCTACCAGTAATGCATGACAGTCCCAGTTGCCCTGTACCCTCACCAACACTCGGTTTTGTGAATATTTTAAATTCTAGCCATTCTTGTGGATTGAATATGTATCTCATTTAGCTTACATTTCAATTTCCCTAACCATTAATAATTTGAGATTCTTCTAATGTACTCATTGGTGATTCACATTCCTTTTGTTGTTGTTGTTCAAGGATCGCTGGCCTTTAGGAGTGTTCTCTAGTCCAGTCTGTTGGGGCACCACGCCCTGGCCCCAAAGTCCACCTTCATCATTCCTTGGATACATTCCTTTGTTTTTAAAGTTTATTTTCAAACTTTTGTCTACTTCAAATATTGGGTTAAAGATTTACTTATGGTATATACCCACTCCTCACTTATAGATATGGTAACATTCCAAAAGCCAGGTTGTTATGTGAATATCATGGTTATATGAACATGGAGGATGATGTTATCAGATCACAAAATGGAGTCTGACCTACTTTATTATCAACTGCCAAATTACATCAATACATAACTGCCAAGCCACCGGGAATCATGGTCCAGCCAAGTTGCTACATAACCTTAATCTTCACAGCCAGCGTTACTCTCGTTTTGGCACCTTAGCATTGATTATCGTATTGATTATGTATGCCATTTAAACACAAAATAGTTGAAAAGTTGATATTTTACGATTGTTGTAAATGTGAAGTGTTGGATAAGAAGATAGTTGATAAGTGAGGAGTGGGTGTACGTTTTAGATATAAATTCTTTGTCAGGTATGTAATATGCTTTTTAACATTGACTGTCAGGATCTTAGAAATTGATTTTTATTATGCTTAAGTTTAAATATTTCCAGATTCCTAGATTCCGTTTTGCCTTTCCTTCAATACAGTATTTGTCTACATTATTTTAGCCCATGCTAAGAAATATATATTTGTATCTACATAAATTTTAATCAATGTACAGTATTACATTAGATGAATCATAACCACTTGCTGAACTAAAATACCAATACCATAAGACTTGTGAAAGCTGGAAGCTGTGGAAGGTGGAAACCTGTCGGAGAAGGAAGATGCAAATATTTTTTCACTAATGAAGAATGAGAGGAAAGTGATATGACTGTGCTCAGTCAAAGGTAGGAGTGTTGGGACACCCAGAAAAACAAGGCATCCCTGTCAGGTTCCGGCTCTCAGAGGTTTCCCTTTACTGAGGTCCACATGTTTTGGCTATTCCAGACTGATATGATAAACTCAACTTGTGTGAGTAGCTCATAGTTTCTTCAGGGAAAATCTCGAGGATAGAATTGATCATTCAAAGGAGGTGTTCGGTTTTTAGGCTTTTCTACATATTCCCGATGGCCATTTCTAGCAGGGTAGGAGAAAGACTTCTCCCTATCCTGAGAAACGGTCTGCTTAGTTTTCACAGCGAGACTGACACGACGGGCTTCATTATTATTTCTGCACTTCTTTACTTCTCAGGGAGGTGATACCCCTGCCTCGTTTACTGGCTACCTGCCGTCTCTCATTTTGTAAACTGCTCGTCATTTTTTTCCCCCCACCGATGGAACTCGTCTGTGTATTCATTTCTAAAAATTCTTCATGTTTTGAAAATATCATCCCTTTCCCTGGCACATATTCTCATGATTTTATAATAACTCGTTCCTTGCTACTCTTTCCTTCACAAGACAGAGCGAAGTTCTCCTTCTCTTGCGTAGGGGCAGGACCTAGTTCTTGCTTCAAACACATAGAGCGTGGTTCCTCCGACCATGTGTGGCTTCTGAGATGATGTCTCAGAGGAGATTTTGCAGTTTCGCCCTTCAATCACGTCCTCGGAGGGGACCCAGCTTCCATGTCAGAAGACACAGTAGCAGGCCTCGGGGGGAGCGACGTGGCCAGGTGCTGAGGCCGTAGCCTTACTCAATGTGACTCGGTCATCTTCCAGCCCCACTCATGCTCTCAGATGACTGCAGTCCCAACAACATCTCAACTATACCCCCAGGAGACACTCAGACATTTAAAAGAAAGAAATTCAATTAAGCCAAACTGAATTCCTGCGTCAGGCACACCCTGGGAGATGATGAAGCCCAACCCCCAAACCAAAAATGAACCAACCTCAAGGCCATCGAGTCCATCCGACTCACAGCGACCCTAGAGGGCAGGGTAGAACTGCCCTGTGGGTTTCCGGGGCTGTAACTCTTCACAGGAGTAGAAAGCCTCATCTTTCTCCCATGGAGCCGCTGGTGGTTTCGAACGGCCGACCTTGTGATTAGCAACCCAATGCATAAACAATTACCTAAGTCACGGTGTAAATTTAAGACAACTGAGTGCAAATAAAACCTTACACATTGTAATCAAGGACATAGGTAGATCCATAGAGAGACAGAGTTACCTTTCCTTTATACTTTTCTGCAATCAAATTGCTAAGTGTTGTTTTCCCCGACGATTTAGGTCCGAATATGAATACTTTGCATGGTGGTGCTGGCATAGGTGGGAGCAGATAGGGACGAGGATTCGCTGAAAACGCTTTCAGTGCTTCTTCCGAGGAAAGACAGTATATTTTACCTAGGAAACTGAACATGCACCACAATAATATGCCACTGACAAGATGTACGAACCAGGTCTGAAATGACGTTCTGAAGGCCTTCCTTACCTCACAGAATAATCTGGTAATCCTGGGTAAACGTCGCCTTCTTTTAAAACCACAGGACACGCACGGCCCCATCTGCTCCTCTGCCATCGATATCTTGGTGCAATTAATTTAAAAGATGCCAGATTCCGGAACAGCTCATCCTGTTGATCACAAAGGTCGCAGTTGTCACGTGCTGTTGCCGCGATCCCGCTGCACAGCTAGACCACGTGACAGTGAAGACCTGCCTGCAGGGTTCCTTAGCTGGGAGCTTTCCAGGAGCAGCTGGCCAGGGCTTTGCCGTGCCTTTGGGTTTGAACTGCTGACCTTTAGCAACCAAATGCTTAACCATTAGGCCACTTGCTCCCAGGCTCAACGCCATCAAGTGGACTTCCACTACTAGCACCAACCCGATGGGCAGAGTAGAACGTCTGCGTGGGTTTCTGAGGCTGTGAATCTCTATGGGAGCAGAAAGCCTCATCTTTCTCCCAAGGAGCTGCTGCTGGGTTTGAAGCCTGGACCTTTGGGTTAACAGCCCAGCGGGTGACCCTCTGCGCCACCAGCGCTTCTTGGGACACTCAGCCAACAACCAAACTCTCTGCCATCAAGTCCATTGTGACCGTGTCACGAAGGGGCCTTTAACCACAAACACGACGTATAAAAACATGGGCACAAGAAATACATAGTATAAGTTTATCTTACTTGATAGTGCTTTGCCATTTTAAAAAAAGGAAGCAAATTTTGCCTTTTTCCCTCTTTGTCACAATACTTATCCTAGATTTAATAATAGCAGTTTTCATGTCTTTGAAATAAAACCCTGCGTAAAATTTGCTAAATGACTGTTTCAGTAGAGGAAAAAGAATTTTATGTATTTTTGACAGTTTTATTGCGACATAATACACATATTATATAATCCAGTAGTTCGATCTTATCAAGAAGAGTTGCACAATCAGGACCACATCGATTTTAGAACATTTGCTTTTCTCTGGTACTACTGCGTGGTATTAGCTCCCCACTCCCCCCCACCCCCCCACTCTCCCCTGCCACACCCCCAAGAAACCATTCATCCCATTACTGTCTCTGCTTTCACCCTTCCTGGATTGCACATACCGAAAAACATGCAAAAACATAAACCAAAGAAACAAAAAAGCTCACAACAAAATAAAATAAAAACCTCAATTGAAAGGACAGCAGAAAATACTAAAAACTAGAACAACTTTAAAATGGGCCGAGGGAGATCAAATGAATGATAAGGTGCTAATTTTTAACCTGTACTAGCAGTTTATCTTTTATAAAGTATAGAAGGCTTTTTCTTAACAATGGTTTCAGAAAAACTCTTACTGAAAAACACCAGATTCTCAACTCACCTAAGCTTTTAAGTAACATGATACAATATACTTATAATATTTTAAATAGTAGGGTATTGTATCTATGAAATACTTCCTCAGTTACTTAGCTTGTGAGTGATTCTTCGTGCTTAATGAAGTTTAAAGTCTCTGCGCATTCTCTTTGGTTGGTGCCCTTCCTAGTAGTTAGGAACTGCTTCCCTACAGAGCACAGGGGTCCTGAGAGGCCTAGCTCTGGGCCACCAGAGCAGAGGACAGGAGGACTGGAGACAGAAGGCAGGGTGAGTGGCTGCCAAGGGAAAGAGTTGGGGTTGGTTCCCTCCAACCTTTAGACGTGGCTCTCACATATATCTGCTGGCTCCGGTGTTGACTATGGAAGGTGGTGGGACTGAGAGTTATGGCTGTGCCTGGCCCACTGCAGCATCAGAGAGCAAAGAGCAAGCATATTATGGAGATGCTGCATGAGTGCCCTTGGCTAAGGGCGGGAAGAGGTGCTGAAATCTTCAGCAGGCGGTCACTGCTTAGGAGAGCTACACGAGCCCGAGAACCACCTTGATGGGGCCCATTGGGCCAATGGAGTGCCTCCCATAGACAATAAGTTAGGGACTCCAACTGTCTCAGTAAAGCCAGGAGACAGGTACTCTGTTGTTCTTCTTTTTTAGTTAATTTGAGTACTCTGTTCTTATCCTTCTTTCCCATCCAAACATTTTAAGAGGCCAAGGGAAACTAGATGAGGAACAGACTGTTCCCTCATAATTCTAAGCCACTGGAGCCACAGGGTGAGCAAACCTGGAGGGAAAAGCCTGGGCTTTCCAATGAATTTGGTCTTTTCAAATGATCACCGTCAATTTTGGTCAAACAAAGCAGATTGAGCACATGCAATGATGGTTGCTGCTTTCCCCAAATCCTGATCAAATGCCCAAACCAAAACTCACTGTCAGCATGTCCATTCTCACTCACAGTGACCTATTGGACAGAGTAGAATTGCCCCCTGTGGGTTTTCTGGGCTGCAAACCTTTATAGGAGTGGAAAGCCTTCTCTTTCTCCCTTGCAGTGGCTAGTGGTTTTGAACTGCTGACCTTGAGAATCACAGCCCAACTCATAAACACTATGCCATCAGAGCTCTTTGAAACAAGGGCACAGTAATAAAAAAGGAATAGTCCCACGAGGACTCAGAAAATGAGAGAGGAGACCAAAGGAGTTAACAGTGGACCAGTTACAGCAACACAATTCTGTAAGCTAGACAGCAGAGGAGGAGTGGTAACTGCCTGACTGAAAGCAGAGAAAGAGGAGAGTAAATTATCGGGGTGGCAGGGACAGGTATGGCATGGGATAAGATGAGGACAAAAGCCAGTTGATTCATTCTACAAAACCCTAGAAAGGCCAGGACCTGGTGGGACCAGACTCCTCTGAAGGCAGGGTGAGTGGACAATAGAAAACAAGCAAATTGGTTGAAAATGCTTCAGAGGAGGTTCTTTTGGCTAGAGCTACTCCCTACAGCACTCAATCAGCCAACTGCACCTACCCCAACAAAGATCTCAAAGGGAGCATTGAAGGATTACTTTCTGGAGGGACTGAACCAGAGGTTCTTATACAAGGGACTCTAGAACTGCCAAGGCCAGAGGGAGGTACACAAAAGTTGGTAGTTAGCAACCACCCCAATTCCCCGCCCACCGGAGCCTCTCCCTGAAGAACATCTGGATGATTCCATGGTCCAGCGACTACAAAGGGAATGCCTGGCACACTCCCACCCATCTTGTAGTGCCTGAGTGGATGCTCCTGCACCGTGGGACCTGGTATAAAATGAAAACGAAGGTCCAGATGAGGAAATTACTAAGGATTTTAAAAGTTTGATAGGGGAGTATTAAGATAAGCCTGGGTCTTTCTAAGCACAGGATTCTTGCTTGCACAGGTAGAAATTCCATGCGGCCAGCCCCGTCCCTGCAATACAGTTGTTAGTTTGGCTGTCACCATGGGATTTAGGCACCGTAGAAGCATCATCTCATTTACTACTTGAAATAACTCTATGTGGTAAGGATTATTACCTCTTTTTAACCACTGAGTTAAAAACAAACACAAACACAAAAACCTAAAACGCACTGCTAGCTAGTCAATTGTGGCGCATAGTGACCCTGTAAGACAAGGTAGAACTGCCCCTGAGGGTTTCTGAGACTATAGCTCTTTATGGAAGTAGAAAGCCTCACCTTTCACCCAGGAGAAGCTGGTGGTTTTGAACTGCTGATCTTATTATGGTCAGCAGCCCAAGAGTAACCACTATGCCACCAGGGCTCCTCTATTGAATCAACGGGAAGCAAAAGCCACAGGTCTCATAAGCTGTTGTACTAGAATTAAAACCCAGATCAGTATGATTTGAAAACCAATGTCACTGTCTACTGTTCTGGTGCCTCTACACACACACACACACACACACACACACACACACACACACACACACACACCCCACCTCGTCCCCCAACCTGTTAGGTGTTACACAGCTTCTCACTCTTCCCCAGGGAATAAGTCCACAGTGCTAGGTTTGTGTCTCTCTTACCCTTTCAACAAAATGTTCTCATCGCGGCTGCAGACAGCCTCCTAGGAAGGTTTTGTTTGGTTTATTTTAATTAATGCCAGAGCCCCATTCCAGAAAGTCTGCTCTAGCCGGTCTAGGATGTGGTCTGGGCAGAGGTTAATGTTTAAAACAACTCATAGATGACCTTACTGTGCATTCAGTGTTCAGAATCAATCATTGCTTTAAACATGCCCTTAATATCGATTCTCTAAAAATCATCTGCCTTTAGCTAAAGGGTATCCACTTAAAGTCCTTCCAAACACACTGGAGCTTATAGATCAATCAACTTTAACCTAGCACCCTCCTTTAGTGGTCCAATCATGACAGTGGTGTGTGTGTGTGTGTGTATGTGTGTGTGTGAAACTTCAGTGGGCATAGAAGCTGAAACAAGGCAAGGGAGCGAGGATGGAGATTTGGACAAAGCATGGGAACAACCCATGACAACAGTGCAGGACTACATTTCCCAGAACCCCTTACTGCCCCCCAATGGAAGTTCATGAGGATCAAGAATTTCATGTGCAGAGGAACCTTTGAAAATGCTTGATCTGCATGTGGGGGAGGGCCATACGGATGGTGTGGTAGAGAGAAGGGTGGACAAGGTATACTGGGACTGCCCTTGCTGGCTGGTAAATTTTTCTTTCTATTAAGAATTCCTAAATGAAATTCTCTTGTGCCTTATGTCTTCCAAAAGCAAATCTTATTCTTGGTAAGACAAGAACCTAATTCTGGTGATTCTACAACGTTTTAGTCCCAATTGGACCTCCAGAGAGTCTGGTCCCCTGGAGCTAGGGGACGGGCTCAGGTAATCAGCACTTGTGACAAGCCTCCCAGCGGATTCTTCTGGAGGCGGCCTGGCCTGCTGGGGAGAAGCACTGGTCAAGGGCCATGAATAATGATCCCTGTGGACACAGGTACAACTTCTGCCTTTTGAGAAAAAACACACAAAAGCAGCTACCTCAGGCATGCATTTTATGAAGTAAAACTGTCTTCTCTCTCTACCATGGAGTCATACTGACTCTTAGCAACCCCCCTGTAGTCTCTGAGACTCGAACTGTGGATGGGACTAGAGAGCCCAGTTTTACTCCCTCCAAGGTGCTGGTGGTTTCAGATTGCCCACCACATGGACCGCAGCACAACAAATAACCACTCTGCCACCAGAGCTCACTAGAGATGCAATAGTGCCTAAGGACAAGCTTATTAGCTAGGAAACGTCCCCAGGGGTGTTTTTTCTTTGACTTTAGCGGTTTCTGCTCTCAAAGCACTCTGCTGACCAGAGGTTCCAGCTCATGTTCTGGTTAAGCTCACCTGTTGGGATCTATGGATTACACAGTACAGGATAACAAAATTGCCTCTTTCTTCCGTTACTTTATATATATATATATAAAATCTAGTTATATATATATATATATAATTATGAAACCTAGTTATGGTTCAGGTAGTTGGTTTTTCGATTCACATAGGTAGGCTTTACTACTTCCAGGAACAGATCAAAGCCTCCTAAGAGGCTTGTGGTCCTTCTGAGACTCAGCTCAGCTATGGTTTAATTCCCATCAGTCTGCAGCACCCCCGTGCCAGGAACACTAGAGGCACTCAAAGCAACTGGCTGAATGATTGAAGGAGGAATGGGTGCTTTGGGAGTTGGAAGCTTTTATGGCTTGGTTCTGTAGTGCTGCAAAAAAAAATTTTTTTTTTTTAACTGGGAACCTGGGGTTCTTTCTTTGATTGTTAAATTACTCCTGTGGTTAATTGTTCTGATTTTATTATCTCTGCTTCAAGACTTCTGTCTTGCCTCTGGAAGATTCCTGACACAATTCTGTTTGGGCTTATATTATTGACAGGGGTGGTGAAAGAGTTAGCTTGCTGTTAATTAAGCTACTGGGAATATAACATAATTTAAGATTTCATTTGTCAAAAATCCAAAATGTAACAGTCCCTTCCACTGCAGTAAAAATTCCTTTGAACTTAATCAGTAAGGATGCCCTAACTCAGGAAGGAGGCCAGCAAGACCATGTAGATCAGCAATGGAGCCTGAGACACCAGGGCATGGTGGTCTGGCAGTCCCTGGAGAAATGTAGATACTAGTTAATGGTAGATATAACAATGGATTCCGTGATATTTTCCTGTGAAGCCTGTTCACTTTGTTTAGGGTCCTGTGATCATTGTAAAACCTGTTGCAAAACCTGTTTGTGTCACATAGTTTCAGGTACAGAATCTGCTTTTCACTGAATCTTTGAAGCAGTGTAGAGGTAGCAAACTCCATTGTTTATTTCCATCTGGCGCTTGCAGAAATGAGCTTAAAGTTTCTCCAATGGAGCTGGTTTCTTTTGTGGCTGAAACAGTGACAGGTGATTCCCAACCTGGTGTCCCAGCAACATTATGGCTGCTTCTCAGAAGCCAAATCAATTTTTATAAAAGATACCTTTAAGCCTAGGAAGGCTAGCAGTGAGTTCACAATACAGGATGGAAAAGGAGCCGTTCCGCCAGTGAGATATGACTTACGTTTTCCATTACATCACTCATCTCCTCCTCTGCACTCTGCAGTTTGGTGATCACAGCTGCTCTTTTGAGGTTCAGATACTGAAGTCGCTCGATCACTGTCTAAATGCACAGGACAAACGTTTAAAGACATTGGTATTGGATGTTTGAATGAACATTGAATTGGTATTGGCATTTGCATGGCTCAAATATTCTTGGACATTGCAGCACTTTCTCTCTTTTTCATTGGTTATAAAATTCATGTACGTTTGAGGAAAGAAATGGAAGCAAAATAAATATTTTGGAGTAACAAGGCACAGCCAAGTTCTTTTCTCTTATGGAAACTAAAAGTTGGTCCACGCCATGTGTCCCAGCGATCACAGTTACAACTCCACAGGGAGCAGACTGCTGCTTACTTTGCCTGTATGAGTGCACGTGCCACAACCACTAGGAACACTTTCCTCACCCTGGTTCCAGCGGTTTATTGCCTGTTAGCATCTGCCCACAATGTGGAGCATCCTTAAATCAGGCGCACCAAGCCTTCTTTAGACTCTTTCCCCGAGGCAGGCAACGCTGGCTGCTTTCGCTTGTCTAGCATCTCCAGTGTCCCTTCTCTTGATAATTGCACACCTACTTCCTAGGGAAAATGGCTCCTCCTCCACCTTTAGTGTGTTGGGGCTACAAATTGCCAAGCCTGGCACTCTCCCACAGGCAATCACTATGTTGTGCCCTCTCCTTCATTTCCAAATGAACAGAACAGGCATCTCAGCAGAAGTGTCTTTTCTCTCTTGCCCATCTGCCTCAGTCAGGTGCCTCTTGGAATGTCATTCTGCACCTAGAATGGCCTCCCTTTGTTCTTGCACCCAGGAACCAGTGCCCCCTCATGTCCCGCCCCCATCCCCTGAGTCCCCAGTAAGCCTCTGTGCCTATGGTGTGTAGGATGGATGTTGGGGCCTTCCTGGGTTAACAGAAATGGCTCTGTGGTGTCCCCTCCAAATGGCATCCAGGGCATGAGCCATACCTACCATACCTGTGATCAGCTTCCGCTCTCTCTCCCTCCCAGCCTTCCTGTGCTCTAAAGAAACTCACTGCTACTGAGTCAATTCAGAGTCAGAGAGACCCTACAGGGCAGTCTGTAACGGTCCCGTTTGGGTTTCCGAGGTTGTGATTCTTTCAGGGATCAGAAAGCTTCATCTTTCTCTACTAGAGTGGCTGATGGAGCTGCTGGTGGCATTGAACTGCTGACCTTGTGGTTAGCAGCCCGATTTTTAATCCACTCCACCAGGACTCCCTCCCAAACCCCAGACCTTGGGCTTATTAAAAACGATTACATCTTCCACGAAAATGTTGTTTCATAATTTGTTTGTATTTCTTCAATTAATAATTAGATTATAGGCAGTTAAATATTTACTGGAAAATTTATTATTACCCTCTGTTGGAATGATAGTATCTTTTTTCCCTCCCTGCTTCCTCTAGTTTCTCTGGAGCCTTCCAAATCTGCTTCTTTGGGTGTGAAAACCACTTTTCTTTTATGATTGGGGTCTCAGGCAGGATTTGACTTTTTGAGATTGACTAATTTGGCTGAGCATAATGCCTTCCAAATCTGCCCCCGACGTGAGGTGTCTGACGGCCTCTCTCAGTGTTTCAGTGATGCGTGATACTCCGCTGTGTGCACGCACGCACCAGTTTACTCCTCTATTCCTTCATGGACGATTTTATAATAAGTATGGCTACCATTGCCCCCCACATAGGCATTTGCTTTTGATGTTGTGAAAGTAACATTGTGTTCCCCTAATACACAGCTGTGTTCTTTTTAAAAATGGCTATAATTCACATTCTCAGTAACCTGTCGGCTACTGAGGATGTGACACTTCTCCAGTGGTGTTTACTCGACTCTGAGTCATGCAACCATTACGACAAGTCGTTTTAGGGTATCTTCATCACCTCAAAGAGCACCCTTGAATCCCACAGCAGTTACCACTACCTTCCCTGCCACTTACAATCCTCACTCTCACCACACCTAGGCAGCCCCGGTAGATTTGCCTGTCTGGGACATTTCATGGAAATGCAATCATACCAGATGTGCTCTCTGTGGCTGGCTTATTTATTAGCATAATGGAGTCAAGCTCCATCCATGTGGCCATTCATTTTTTTTCATGGCTCCACAATATTTTCTAGCGTGGAATGTATTATTAATCTATTCATCACTTGATGGACATTTAGGTGATGCTTGCTTTGGGGTATGGTGTCAAGGACTTTCAGCTATAAAGTATATTGTGGGCATCTGCTCTTATTTCTCTTGAGTGCCCACCTTGGAGGGGAACTGCTGAGCCACAGTGTCACTCTTTGTGTGGCCTTTAAGGAGGCCTTTCAGTCAGCCTGCAGGGGGACCGTGAATCAGAATAGACTCCCTGACAAGACATTCCCTTTTCTGTCTTAGAATAATGAGGGAGTTCTGTTGGCACAGTGAGTGAAGTGTTGTTAACCAAATTTTCGGCAGTCTGAACCCACCAGCTGCTCCACAGGCGAGAGACAAGGAGGCAGTCTACTTCTGCTTCTGTGAAACCCGGTGACATCATCCTGGTCCGAACTGCCAGAGCGATCCTCTGTTCTATAGGGTCAACCTGACATTCTTGAGTGTGTGTTTTGGTTGATGACTAAGGAGAACTGGGGGGTGAGAGGTGCGCATGGATAAATGCTGGACTGTAGGCAGAAAGGCTGGCAGCTTGAGCCCACCCAACAGCGCCTCGGATGTCAGGCCTGGCGACCTGCTTCTAAAATGGCCTTAAAAACCCTGTGGAGCAGTGCTACTCCCGAGGCCACCAGGAGTCAGAACCGACAGGGCAACAACAGGAAAGACGGATACAATCCATCATTTTCAAACTTCCCAACTCACCAGGAAAAGCTCCTCTGAGGACTTCTTTCCATCCAGCTCAATGAGATACTGGGAATTGTGCTCAGCCATCATTCCCTGTAGATCACAAACATGTTAATCATCCAAGATAAGAGGGAAAGTGGAATACAAGATCACAGTCTCAACACACTATGAAGAAGACGTCTTTAGATGTCAACCCTTTGTTTTACACAGTAAATCACTTTCAAGAAACGACTGCAACAGCCAGAACTAGTCTTCCAGCCATCCATTTTACTCCCCTTTTGTTGAGTCCTGGTGGCATAGTGGGCTGTGGGCTGCACAGGGCCAGAGGCTCCAAACCACCTGCTGCTCCTGGGGAGAAAGATGAGGCTGTCGGCTCCCATCAAGATTCACAGCCTCAGATACCCACAGGGGCAGTTCTACTTGGCCCCAGAGCAGTGGTTCTCAACCTTCCTAATGACGCGACCCTTGATACAGTTCCTCATGTTGTGGTGACGCCCCCCATAAAATTGCTTTCTTTGCTACTTCATAACTATAATTTTGCCTCTGTTATGAATTGTCATGTAAAATCTGATATGCACGATGCATTTTCATTGTTACAAATGGAACATAATTAGAGCATAGTGATGAATCACAAAAACAATATGTAATTATAGATTGTGAAATATTTATTTCTAATGACAAATAAATGAAATGTTGTTTTGAAGCATGGTGTAGCATGGGTAACAGTCTTCACACCAGGTCCTCGTACGTGGGCGTATCTGCATGTGGGCAGACCCGCCTGCAGACGGATAGAGGAGCAGTGTCTCAGTTCCTAAGACCATCAGAAAGTGTTTTCCGATGGTCTTAGGCGACCCCTGTGAAAGGGTTGCTCGATCCCCAAAGGACTCGCGACCCACAGGTTGAGAAGCGCTGCCCTAGAGGGTGACCATAGTGAGAATCAGCTGGGTGGCAGTGGGTCTTGGTTCTGGCTCCACTGGATGGGGCTTCAGCGAGGCTAACATAAGAGCTGGCCCGTGACCTCAGAGGAAGGACCTTTGTTGGAGACAAAAAGGGGGCTACTGGTAGCCGTGTTCTTTCCTTTTGAGAAGCTGTTTTCAAGGCTTGTGATAGAAGGAGGAAGTAAAAAGTAATTCGTAAGAAAACAATGGGATTTCCCCCAGTGGATAATGAGAATGAAAATGACCCCCTCTTAAAAAGCATAAGCACTGTTAAAACGGCATGAAATGAAGTCCCTTGGTTTCGCTATCATATGGATGGAGGAACTGGGGGCTGTTCTTCGTTTGTCTTTCTGCTTCTCATGCTTAGCACAGGGTCTGGTCAAGTGTTTGCCAAATAAGCTGCCAACACAGCTGAGTCTCCTTGTCACATTCTTCCTGGGTATTTGACAGCATAAAATACAGCTTTCACATAATTGTAATCATAGCAATCATACTGGTTTAAATGCAAATTG